GCAGAAAGCCTTCGAAGCAACGTCGGTCGGGCAAACCGACTATGTGGAGATCCGACAACTTCGTCGCACGCGACATCATAACATAGAGCGCCAAAGCATAGTCGGCATCTTTCATCCACGGTGGCTGGTTCAAAAAAGCCACCAGTCCGCGATGAGCGGTCACTCCTTGCAGCCCGAAGTGCGTGAGGACTTCTCTCGGCGCCAAGGGAATCTAGCGCGGGTCAGTGATCTTCAGTCTACACTCTTTGACACACACCTAACCGAAACATGACAAGATGTTACTGCAAACCCCACACCTACAAACACGGACGATGGCGCGCCTGCTTGCGCATGACTCTGAATTTCGAGTCCTTGCCAACCTGGACCAGAAAGCCATTGCTTTCGCACACCGGCCGCACGAAGAAGTGGCCTTTGGGAACGTCGCACGCGCCAGGCAGCTGTAGTTGCGAGTATTCCTTATCGTCCACTTCCACAAGCACGCCGAGTGGCTGGTAACGCAGCACGACACAAGCTGCACTGCTCTCCACCACGGGCTCCTTCGGATGCAGCTCAACGCGTCGAACGATGCAAGGCAACTCCCTGCTGAGAAGTGTCTCGGGTAAAATGCACGAGATGCGGACCTTCATGCCAACGAATAACGGGCACATGCCCATCAGGTATCCCGTCTTCGTCATGTTGACTGTTCTGAGCGCAGCGCTAGCTTCTTCCGGCGTAAGACTGCGACCTCCCGCGGGCTTGTCGATCGCCTGCACGAAGTAAAGTTGCTCCTGTGCCGCGCGAGCTTCCAAAGTAGACCGCAGATGCTGCAGTCTACCCACTTGCTCCCAAGCCATACCGCCCCAGTAGGCCGAGAAGAACTCTTCTCTGCCGTTGACGGTCGACAAGGTGTCCGGCTGTAACACTCGAGATTGCAGCTCTCGCCAGAGAGCATCAGACAAGCTGGTGCCTTGCCGCATGTGTCCGAGAATGCGGACCAAGGACTGCCCGGATGCGCAGGATGAAAACCGTCCGGTCCCCGTGAAATGGACCACGATGCGCACAGAATTCTTGAAAAGCAAGCGTCCCAGCTCCGATGCATTGCTCTCCTGCAAGAGGCCAAACAAACAAAACGAACCATTTGTAAACATAGGCAAGGATTTCGAATTTACGAAGACCCCATTCCTCTGACCCGGCTTGAGCTTCTTCTTCTTCATCCTCGGACTGTGCCGTGTCCACGGCAGACGTTGTTTCCTGCCACTCGCACAGACTTCTCTGTGCTGCTGGCCGAAGCTGCAGGAAGTCACCCAGCTGTATGCCAATAGGCATGCGACCGAACCATTCCTGCAGGTAACGAGAAGGGTCCAGTTCCAATGTGTCGGCGCGCTGCAAGGCAAAGCGATAGCCGGCAGCATGATAAACATCAGACGGAGTCATGGACATTTCGTCGAAGACCTTGCGTTCCAAATTACCACGATAAGTTAGCCCATCCGCGAAACTACTGTACCTTACGCAACACTCCCATGGAACCCAACGCGGGCAAAGCACTGCAGCAAGGGCCGCTACTATTCGCCTCTCCAGGGCGTCTTGTCTGGCTTTCTGTGCCCGAAGAGTCCGACGGTCCAGGCCGCCGCCGGGATTGACGTTAGCCAGCTTGTGCAGCGTGCGTGCTTCTCGTCCTAGCAGTCGCACGGCAGCGTGCGTGGGCGCGCCCGCCACGAACCCATCTTCGCCGAAGAAGCGGCGAAAGACCGGCCGTACAACTTGGGTGTACGCCCATGTTTTCCCGCTCCCTCCTGCTCCCAGCCACAGACAATTGACGCGCTCCTGGCGCTTACCATCAGCCTTGCAGCTGCTGCTCTTTGTCCTCTTTAACCACATCTCGTCCACGGCATACACAATCGGAGCCACGGCGCGAATCTGCTGATCATTCAGTGTGTACTCCTGCCAAGTATATATGTATACCTTTATGTACATACATATACATCTACACCAATTCGTCG